TATATATATATATATACAAGCTACAAGCAGAGAAAAAAACCTAGCCACAATTATTTTCCAATTGGCGGTGCGAATGAGAAAGGAAAGTCAAACTTGTAAATTATTCGCATATTGCCTTTTAACACATTATTTCTTATTTGTCCACAAGTTAGGTTAGGATATGTGGAAAATGCAGACAAGTTAAAATAACACTTGAAAAGGACCTTTCATGATCGAGCGATCCCCTCGTAAGTTCTCACATGCGTCATAATAAAGATAACGTGAAGTCATGCATGGAAATTTCAATGGGATCAGCTTGATGGAATCTGTACGTAGTGGCTCTCGACGTAGAGCTCAAGCACACGAGACGAGACCATCTGATTTCGGAAGTACCTTGCCGGCCTGGGTTTTATCTTGTTCAAAAATGAGCAAGGGCAAAACGCAAAGGACAAGTAGAAGCTTGCAAGTTATTGCGGCCATATTTCCTTGACAATTTGAACACAAATTCACACATCTGCATAATAATGACAGTAAGTGAACCAAGTTTTGACAAATATGATACCAATCCCTCCGACCAATGTTTACCAGAAATAATATGTATCCAAGTTCATTTAGAATTTTGGTTCATCACGATATATTTAGCACTAAATATGCGTACGGAGGTCTCTTTGTTCAACATATATAGTAAGCATATTAGACCTAAAAACAAATAAATAAATAAAACGTTGCTATTAGAAAGTTAATTGCTATTGTTTTTCAAACTCAAAATTTGAAATATGAATGTACGTGGTGTTTATTCAAAAATATATATAAAAAAATGTTTTCTAATACACCAATTTTGAAAAATGAATCATTTTAACTGTGTTTATACCATATTTGACCAAACAACTAGAAGCAACTTTAAGTAAGGCAAAGAGTTGTTGAGGCCCAAAAAAGTTCATGGCTTGGCCCAAATAAGTTTTCGGTCCAATAAGATACTGTATTAAGAAAAGTCACATATCGGAGTACACGAAGGCTCGTCATATACAAGTCATAGTTCACGTGTCATGCTAAATAAATAATTTGTCATGCTATGGATTGAAATAATATTATAAATTATAAGCCCATGCTAAACTAAGCACCGTGTCTCTCTTCAAGAACGATAAAATTGAAGCACGCCAAGTGACATGCCACGCCAAGCAAAGAATTATTATTCCGCACTCAATCACGCCACAAGCTTAAGTGGGCCATAAGTCACTCAAATACTCTGGGCTTGCTTGAGTGGGTTGTGGTATGGATGGTAATAAATTGTCATGATGCCCATTAATGGGCCGAGAAATGGAAGTTCCGGGTTGCTTGGGAGCCTAGGAACTCAGACTCATTTCTTATGCCCAAACATATGGGTGAGCACAAGAGAGAAAATGTCCCAACCAAAATAGTCCATTACCTTAGTCAAAATAGTCCATTAGCTTAACCAAAATTAGCCCAACACCTCAACAAAATAAGCCAAAACTTGGTGAAGTTGGCCCATTTATTTGATAAGCCAACTCATTGCTCTAGAAGGCCCGTATAAATAAAATAAAGATCTGCAAAACCATCAACAGCTGGATAGAAAATAAAGCCACGGGTGAAGATTGAAAGGCCATGTTTGCAGAGCTGGGAGGCTCCAGCACGTGGGAAGGAACAAGTTTCAAGCAAGAAACACTCAGCGAATCATGGAATGTTGGTGCACAAAGTGGGAATCATCCTTCGAACCAGCATGTATACCTATTTCTTTCCTTCATCAGATCTGACCATGAAAAAGAAGAGAAAAGAGAGGAGGAAGATGACTGAAAATAGGAGTGTGAAACAGTCGCGGGAAAGGGAGCCTTGAGCTCTCAAAAATCCTTGATTTTGTCTAAAGGAGCAGAGTAGATTTCACCAAAATAAGATAATTGAAGGGATGAGGGAAGAAAGGAAGGGAAAGATTTGGCAAAATAGGATAGAAGCTATAGGGTTTCTTGGAAAAAGATAGCTTCCAGCGGCTATAAATAGAGCTTCTTCTACCCAACGAAAATCAAGCACATCTAGAGAGCAAGCTTCCTCTCTCACCTGCAAAACCTAGCAAATTCGTGCTATAGTCACTTTTTCCCCCATTTTTCCTCTTTTGGCAGACTGACAAAGTTTCTGTCAAACTGCCGGAAAAACACTCAAGCCACCCATTCCTCTTTTTCCCTTATTCTCAACCAAATCTTTCTGCAAAACCCTTTCTCTACTACCTTAATACCCCATCTTTCCCCTAGGAACACTTAAATTCTCTCTTCAGTGCTAAACTCATGACAACTTTGCTCCCATGCCACAAGCCTCTCATGCTAAGCTAAGATTTTACCTGTAAGTACTAAGAAATTATCTGTAAACTGATATTATTTTTGTCGGTGAAGGTAATCAAGGTGTTGCCTAAGGCCCTAGTGTCATTTCGAAGCATCATTGGGGCTTGATCTTTGAACTCAGGCAAAGGGGATACTTTCAGTAATTTGCTTCTTACGGCAGCCCAGCCCATTTGTAGCTACTATGAGAAAAAAAAAGCCCTTACAAGAGTCTTACATTGAAATATTACAAGAAGTGAGAACTCTCCCTCACCTATATAAGGAGACCACTCTCCACATAGAAAGGGATCTCTAGGCTGGATTTGATCTTTAGTCATGAGCTTCTACTTTCTTTCCTTTATATATGGGTCCAACCTCATGTACAAATGTAATTAAATATTAGGGACATTTTGGAAAAAGCAAAAGGAGAGAGAAAAATTTTAAAAGAAGCAAAAATGGACAAAAATGCCCTTATTTATTTTTAGATTTCCTAAGGAATCCAATACATTTGCATGTCTTTGATTTGAAAGTTGAGTGGTTTTTTTGTCTTTTTTGAAAAAGCTTTGGCTTTTTCCAAAAGTGAAAATTTTTTTATGTCTAAAACCTAAAAAACCTTAAATGTTATTATAATAATGAAAATATATTTCTCCGTAACCGTAGCTCATTTATTAAAGGTGAACCACGTATATATTGTATTGTGTATATCTATTGCTTGCCTAAATTTTCACACACATACTGAAAGTCCTCACCTTCACTTATCATCAATTATACCTCATCATTAAATTGGGCCCAAAAGTGCTGAACCATTTTTGAAACTGTGAGTCTCTGAGAATTATAAAACTTTGGAAAAATATTTAATTTGTGGACAAAGCCAAAAGTTGGAAGTCGTGGATTTCTCGCGCGTAAAAGACTGGTTATATAATTTTAAAGATGTGGAAGGACAAAAATCCATTGTCGTCTAGTCCGGTTTAGGATACCTGGCTTTCACCCAGGCGACCCGGGTTCAAATCCCGGCAATGGAAATAAAGCTTATCTATTTTTGCTTTTTTGTTTTTAACAAGGTGCCTAGGCTTCTGATTTCACCGGGTTCGTCTAGTCTATATCAGCACTCTGTAAGCTGAGCTTTTTCCTTCAAATCTACTGAAGACCCATTTCGAATTTTCGATTTGCAAGATTTCTTTTATTCCACAAAGCCCCTAGTCTGATCCCGCACTCTCACTTCCTAAATAATTTGTATGTGATAATATGTTTTTTTTCCTCCTTTTTTTTGGGTTCAACTTCTTGCTTATCGAATTTGATTCTTAAAATGTCTGAAATTCTTAATTTTAGTTCGGTGGATCCGCTGCCGGACAACATGATCGGCTAACTGGTACTCGTCTTGGGAATCGGAACTTGCCTGGATTACTATCTCCATATTTTTGGGACAAATCGAAGGCGATATGGTAAGCCGCCGTTTGTTTTGATTTTGTGTAATTTTAATAGTTTCATTCGATTGATTATATATTATGGGTGCTTTGCTTGTGAGTCCTTAATTCTCTTTCTTTGATAATCTACCCTGTGCCCTAACTTAAAGCCGCTAAATTTATTTGTTGTTGGTTATGGAAAGTTTAAATTTCTCCCCTGTTAATCTTCCTTTCTGGTTGGCATTTCAGTGGTCAGAACAGGATGAAACATGCTTCTTTTGTATATATGACCATATCAAATCTGACTATTGGTTGTGAGAGTAAGAATATGAACTTTGTTTGCTTACTAATCTCTGTCTCAAGCACACCAGTTGCAGTCTAAATGATCTAGAAACTACTGGTCTTTGTATTAAACTGATGATTATTTTTTTCAATTCCTTGAATATCTTAGATGCAAAGACAACCACTGAAGTCCCCTTGCAAACCGCAGATGGAGTTGGATAGGATTAGCAACTTACCGTGTCATGTTGCAGATATTATAATAATGAAAATATATTTCTCCGTAACCGTAGCTCATTTATTAAAGGTGAACCACGTATATATTGTATTGTGTATATCTATTGCTTGCCTAAATTTTCACACACATACTGAAAGTCCTCACCTTCACTTATCATCAATTATACCTCATCATTAAATTGGGCCCAAAAGTGCTGAACCATTTTTGAAACTGTGAGTCTCTGAGAATTATAAAACTTTGGAAAAATATTTAATTTGTGGACAAAGCCAAAAGTTGGAAGTCGTGGATTTCTCGCGCGTAAAAGACTGGTTATATAATTTTAAAGATGTGGAAGGACAAAAATCCATTGTCGTCTAGTCCGGTTTAGGATACCTGGCTTTCACCCAGGCGACCCGGGTTCAAATCCCGGCAATGGAAATAAAGCTTATCTATTTTTGCTTTTTTGTTTTTAACAAGGTGCCTAGGCTTCTGATTTCACCGGGTTCGTCTAGTCTATATCAGCACTCTGTAAGCTGAGCTTTTTCCTTCAAATCTACTGAAGACCCATTTCGAATTTTCGATTTGCAAGATTTCTTTTATTCCACAAAGCCCCTAGTCTGATCCCGCACTCTCACTTCCTAAATAATTTGTATGTGATAATATGTTTTTTTTCCTCCTTTTTTTTGGGTTCAACTTCTTGCTTATCGAATTTGATTCTTAAAATGTCTGAAATTCTTAATTTTAGTTCGGTGGATCCGCTGCCGGACAACATGATCGGCTAACTGGTACTCGTCTTGGGAATCGGAACTTGCCTGGATTACTATCTCCATATTTTTGGGACAAATCGAAGGCGATATGGTAAGCCGCCGTTTGTTTTGATTTTGTGTAATTTTAATAGTTTCATTCGATTGATTATATATTATGGGTGCTTTGCTTGTGAGTCCTTAATTCTCTTTCTTTGATAATCTACCCTGTGCCCTAACTTAAAGCCGCTAAATTTATTTGTTGTTGGTTATGGAAAGTTTAAATTTCTCCCCTGTTAATCTTCCTTTCTGGTTGGCATTTCAGTGGTCAGAACAGGATGAAACATGCTTCTTTTGTATATATGACCATATCAAATCTGACTATTGGTTGTGAGAGTAAGAATATGAACTTTGTTTGCTTACTAATCTCTGTCTCAAGCACACCAGTTGCAGTCTAAATGATCTAGAAACTACTGGTCTTTGTATTAAACTGATGATTATTTTTTTCAATTCCTTGAATATCTTAGATGCAAAGACAACCACTGAAGTCCCCTTGCAAACCGCAGATGGAGTTGGATAGGATTAGCAACTTACCGTGTCATGTTGCAGAACGAATTCTGTCGTGTTTGCCGATTAGGGAGGCAGTGAGGACAAGTGTTTTGTCAAGCAAGTGGAGGTACAAATGGGCTATGGTTGCGCATCTCGTGTTCGATAATCACTGTCTCTCGGCTCAAAACCGAACAACTTTTGTCAACATTGTTGATCATGTACTCTTACTTCACATTGGCCCCATACACAAGTTCAAGCTTTCAAATCGAGATTTTCTAGCCACTAGTGATATTGATCGATGGATTCTTCATCTATCAAGAAGCTCTATCAAAGAGTTCATACTTGAAATTTGGAAAGGGAATCGCTACAAGATGCACTCATCTGTATTTTCTTGCCAAGATATGACTCATTTGGAGTTATTTAATTGTTTGTTAAGACCTCCGCCAACATTCAAAGGCTTCAGCAGATTGAAGAGCCTTGATCTTCAGCATGTTACCTTGGCCCAAGACGTCTTTGATAATATGGTTGTTCGCTGTCCTCTGCTTGAGAAATTGACTGTGATGAACTTTGACGGTTTCACCCTTCTCAACATTGATGCACCAAATCTCCAATTCTTTGACGTTGGAGGTGTTTTTGAAGATGTTAATTTTAAGAATACCTTAAATCTTGCTGTAGTCTCCATTGGTTTGTACGAGCATGTTTGCAACTACCAAAGACGAGGGCCTCCTGGCAGTTCTAGCCATTTGCTCAAATTTTTAGCTCACCTGCCTCGTATTCAAAGACTGGAAATTCAGAGTTACTTTTTAAAGGTAATTGAGGGTTGTGTAGTTTTACTTTCATTTAGTGAGCATTCACATGGCCATGAGAATTTGAGTATATTGATTGAGTTCGCTTTTTTTCTATATCCTTTCATCTCCAGTATTTGGCTATTGGTACCTTGCCAGGAAAGCTGCCTAAACCATGTCTAGTTCTGAATTATCTTTCTATTCGCATAAGCTTCACTGATTCAGATGAGATCTCAACTGCTGTATGCCTTTTGAGAAGCTCACCTGCTCTACAAGAATTAGAAATTTTGGTGAGTTTTATTCTACTGATGCATGCAGTATTTTTCTGTTGAGTTAAAATTTTCAAACCAACTGGTCCAACTCTACTCTAGAAAATTGGTTCAGGGAGCTGTTTTATCATAAATTCCAGAATATAATACCATAGACCTTGTCCTTATGCAGGTCCGGCCAGAGGATACAACTTGTGCAGGAACGGTTAACTTTCAGTTAGATGACGACTGGAATGGTCCAATTGCCCGACTCCGCCATGTGAAAATAAACGGCATCGCTGGTACCAAACCCGAACTAGAATTCATCAGACTTCTACTTTTAGGTTCACCTGCGCTTGAGAAGATGACTGTTAAGCCCGCTTCTGTCACCTGTGGTTGGGAGATTGTAAAAAAGTTGCTTCAGTATAGGCGCGCCTCAGTATATGCAGAGATAATCTACATGGACCCATGACATGACTCATCAATGAGTTTTGGCAGCTATGAGGACTTTCCTACTGAAAGGAATGTTGGTTTTGTATGAAGTATTAATGATGTATGTTTATTTTTCTGAACAATGTCTCATGTTGGCAATGCCCTTGCATTTGTGGAATCTGGTATCTGTAAGCTCTGAGATCTGGATTAACTTGGCATGAATATTGCATAATGCATGCGATTAGTAATAGCCCTTGCCTTCCCTTGTCTTTTGCCGTGGCAAATGGCAAGAGGAGGCAAGGGCACGGCGAAAGATAAGAGGAGGTGGCTATTACTATTCACGTGAATAGTGGCAGTCATTGCAAAAGACTGGTGTTTCCAACCATTGCTATGGCAACTGCTATTCACATGAGATATGAGGAGAGAAATTTATATTAGATTTTGTGTGGGAAGTAAAAAATATGACTAAGTATATATTTTTAAAAAAATCTTAAATTTCTTTTAAAAATCTTTTTTGGTTGCTGACGTTATTGCTGATGTCAGCAAATCCAAACTAAAATAAGGACTAGTTTTGCCTAAGGGCTAGCCCAGACTTATGGAGCCCACTAACAGCCCTGGCAGCATTTGTCTGCTGGAAGCCCTTTTTGGGCCCAGGTGCCCCCCCCTTTTCCGGGGCCGCCGGGAGTGCTCTTTTTTTTTCCTTTTTTTTGGGTTAAGCCGGAAGTGCTCTTAGGAGATGATTTTTTGTAACTGTGAAGTCGCTAATTTACCACTTTTTCCTTTTTTTTGGGTCAAGCCGGAAGTGCTCTTAGGAGATGATATTTTGTAACTGTGAAGCAGCTAATTTACATCTACCAACCAACCAGCGTCCTTCTACGCCGCCGGTTGTATTCGTGTACCATGTACTATTATTACATGTTCTTTCATGTCACATCAAAAGATTTGTTGATTCCATACATAGAGAGTTTCTGTACATGGTGTTCGCTGAAGAGATTTGAAAGTCTCAGGCTGAACCTACCCTTCTACACATATAGTCAAACTTGAGCCAGTAATTTAGTTAGCCACCGAAGTTGTTGAGGGATATTCATTGCATGAAAAGTATAAATAATCTATTCTTTTTTTTGGGTATTTACAGTTTAGGAAGTCCGGTCTTGCTTGCACTGAAGAAATCAGAACGTGGTACCGGCACAGAAAGCATGTATAACTCATGTGAATAAGGCCTGAAAATAATTCATGTCACGCAAAAAGCATGTGAACAGTAGGATTTATTTGTTTATTTATTGAATGGTTAATAAAATGGACATGTGCGGGGGAGGGGGGGAACTCTGAAGTCTATCTTTAATCCATTAGGCGGGGCCCACGTTACATTCAGAGCTGTGAGTCTGGTTGGATTTCGAGACCCACAACCACAGAATTGTCCTGCCCCGTCTGGACGTCGTATATAAGTTATAACGACCAGTCAAACTATTATCACGCATACCTTACCAACCTGCAAAATGGTAAGACAAAACGGACACGGCTCACTCACTTGTGTCCGTAGCCAGCCAGTCCACCCACAACAACCAAGAACCCCCCACAATCTCACGTCCTATTCTAAATTATAATTGGGTTGGGTTGAGATAACACACACACACGAAAACAAACCAATAAACCATCTTTGGCTTTCTTCAGATTCTGCTCTGCAGCACACAACACAGAGTCATGGACAATAATACCCCGCTCCTCGTTTCGAACCACAGCGGCCATGAACAAGAAGAGAAAGTGGGCATTGTTAAGGAGTTCGGGATCGAGTCTAAGAAGCTATGGAAGATTGCGGGCCCGGCTATCTTCACCGCCATATGCCAGTACTCCTTGGGTGCTCTCACTCAGGTCTTTTCCGGGTTCGTCGGGGATGTCGAGCTAGCCGCCGTCTCCGTCGAGAACTCCGTCGTCGCCGGCCTCGCTTTCGGTGTCATGGTAATTAATTTTCATATATGAAATTGTTTTAGCATTAATAATATCTGTAAATATTGGGAGCTAATTGATTGGTTAATTAATAACTTGGCAGCTGGGAATGGGGAGTGCACTGGAGACGCTGTGTGGGCAAGCATACGGTGCGGGGCAGATCAGGATGTTGGGGGTATACATGCAGAGATCGTGGATCATTTTGCTGGTAACAGCTTGTGTTTTGGTGCCGGTCTATGTTTGGTCGCCTCCTATTCTTGAGCTGGTTGGAGAGACCGATGAGATCTCAGAGGCCGCCGGTTCGTGTTTTT